ACATGACTAACTGGCAGGAGCTCTCAGCAGCCGTCGAAGAGGCCTTCCGTGCTGCCTTACGAGAACTTGAGTCTCAACGACGCTTCACGGCTTCCAACTACAAGGGCAGGGTCGCCGCCACGATTCCTGTCTGCAGTCATCACAGGCCGTCTCCTGAGGGGGTTCCTAAGGTACGCACTGCCAGACTCCGGCGTCTGGGCAGGCGAATCGAGCAGTGGCACAAACATGCTGACCCTCAGTTGTCTGGGCATGTTCGTAGGGAAGCTGCCTTTTTCCAGTGTCCCCTAAACCCTCTCGACCCTAACACCCTGCCGGCAACGCGCCAGTGGTTGCAAGCGGAACTCACGAGCCTCGAAACTGCCAACAGGGACAGGCGCCTGCAAGAGTGGAAACGCTCAATGCAGCAACAGGATGGCCCGGTCTGGAGGTGGCTGGCCAAAGCTAAAAAGACCGAGGTCACCAGCGGCTTAAGGAACGCTCAAGGCTCGGTTCTCACACCTGCCCAAACCATGCAGGAAGTTGAGCGGTTTTGGCGCAAACACTGGCCCAGCAACGAAGGCCTCGACAACAAACAACAAGTGCTTGAAACCTTGCACGCTGAGGCTGGCTTGGCGGACAATGTCTGCCACCCGGCCATGCCCCCCCTGAAAGCTGAGGACCTCAAGCGAACCTTGGCGCGGCAGCGAGGGAAAGCTCCTGGACCAGACGGGTGGCGACCAGAGGAGCTCTGGTACTGGCCACGCCCCGCTCTCGACCTGCTCGCGGCTTTCCTTAACGGGATTGAGGAAGGTAGTAACTGGCCACGGGCCTTGCGTCAATGGAAGCAAATCCACCTCAACAAGCCTGGCAAGCCTCCTGGAGTCCTCGAAAACCTGAGACCCATAAGTATCGGAGCCGCTGTTTACAGACTTTGGTCCGCCACCAGAGTCCGACAGCTGGGGCCTTGGCTTCGACGTCGGCTCCCTAACCAGGTGCATGGCGGGCTCCCCGGTAGGGGCGTTCACACGGCCCTCCTTGAGCCTCTGGCTGAGGTTGAACTTGCCCAAAGGGCTCCGCGAGGCAACCTAAGGTTCTTTGGGGCCTCGGACTTAAGCAAGGCATTCGATGCACTGCACGGGGCCTTAGCTGTCCCGGCCCTTCAGAGGCTGGGGGTGCCTGCTCCTCTGTGTCGCGCTTGGCAGCAAGCGTGGCATCAACAAGAAAGGGTGCTCCAAATCGCGGGCATGAGCAGCAAGAAGGCTATCAGTGACGTTGAGTGCCTCCCTCAAGGTGACCCCGCGTCACCCGCTGCGCTCACAGCCCCGCTCGTGGAGTCTCTCCGCAGGATCACCCAGAAGTTTTCTGGGAATCGGCAGGGCCGGAGCCTTCACCGACTCTTCTTGGACGACAGGAGTTGGTTCTGCGAGAAGCGCAAAACATGCTTGGACATCGGGCGTGAGTGGCGCCATGAGGTCTCTCTGTGGGGTTTAGGCGAGAACAAATCCAAGTCCGATTTTGGCGTGATTGGCTCAGCCTCTGACCGCAGAAATATGCAAGCTGAGATCCGCAGACGGGAGCAGGTGGGGGAAGTGAAGCTTCGCCCGCGCCTTCTGGGCTCTCGCCTACACACGAACAGGGCGCACAGCAAACCACAAGACGAAGAGCGAGACCGGCTCGCTGACGCCAAAAAGATGGCGGCTTGGGGCAGTCACCTGCCCTGCGATCAGGGCCGGAAGGCTTACTTCCTCAAGCAGTCTGCGGTGGCTAAGGCTGCTGCTCCCACTTACGTGAGGCTGGAGGCCCTTAAGGCTCTCGAGGGAGTTCAGTCTGTGATCAATCGAGCTATCCGCTCGTCTGGGCACGCCAGAGGAGGGAGTTTGGCCGACTTGTTCTTGGGGCATAGCGCTTGTCTCAAGTTCCGTCACGGGCATGTTGCTTCGGTCCAAGTTTTGACCCAAAGTCACTTGCCTGTGTTGCAAGCCGCTTGGCAGCAGAGTCGTTCCTACGGGCCCGTGGGCTTGACCAGGAGGTGGATGCAGAGGCACGGATGGCGAGAGGCTGGAGTCTTCCGCTGGACTCACCCAGCTACTCAGGTCACGTTGTGCTCAAGGGCTGCCCAAGTCGGCCGACAGGAGAGAGGCATTCAGCTCTCTGAGGAAAACAAAGATGCCATCAACCATGCCCTGCGCGACGCTTGGAGGGCTAGGTGCTGGCTCACGTGGCTGGCGCAGGGCTCAAAAACGGCCAGGCCGCTGGCCGCTCTGTCTTGGCCCCAAGTGCGTGACAGGTTTAAAATGGCTGTCAGTATCTTGAACGAGCTCCCCTGCGAGCTGAAGTCTCATGCTCAGGCAGTCTTGGTGGGACACTTGGTGTCCCCTGCGGCATTCCACATCATGACCAGCCCGCAGGCTGCGATGATCCCTTGCCCCTTCTGCGGCTCTCAGGAGGCGCCGGACTTCGAGCACGTGATGTGGTCGTGTGAGCACTTTAAAGCGTCCCGACCCGACGGCGGCGCCTCTGACGCGTTGCAGCGCTGGCTCGCGTGGCCATCGCTGACCAAGGACCGAAGGGGCAACCTTCAAGTGGTACTTCACGCAGCTGAAGTTCGGAGGGGCGTGCTGCAAGCACGCCACGACACTGACATCTAAGGACCGGTGCCAGCAGTGCGGCAAGAGCGCCTCTTCGGGGCGAACCTCTACCGCACGAGCAACGACTACTACTACTAGGTGTTCTGGAAGGTGCGATGTTTAAGGGGCTGCAGCTGAAGGCCGAACTCGCGAGGCCTCGGGATCGAACGACGGCGATGACTTACAGCAAGGCTGCACCGACATCACCGCCACCGCCACCGCCACCGCCACCGCCACCGCCACCGCCGCTGGCACCTGGGATGCCAAAGATGGTGCCGAAGACACCGCCCATGCCACCCCCGGCACACTTGTTGGCTCAGGCTGTTTCTGGTGTGCCTTTGGGCAATGGACCGGAGCCCGATGGAACGGTTATTTCTGGTGAGCCTTTGGGCAATGGACCGGCTATTCATGAGGAGGCTTTGGCCGATGATGGTTATGGTGAGGCTATTCAGGAGGAGCCTTTGGCCGATGATGGTTATGGTGAGGCTTTTTCTGAGGAGCCAGTGGTGGGCGATGAGGAGCTTGGGCGTTTTTTGGAGGACCACTGCCAAAGACCAGTTGCAGAAGGGCCTGTGTCCCCGACATCAAAGGCTGGCAGCAGCTCTGGGAGGTCGCGAACAAGGCGGCCATCAAGCAGCCGGAGCAGCCGGCGGCGATCGAGGAGCCGGCGATCGAGGAGCCGGCGATCGAGGAGCCGGCGATCGAGGAGCAGGCGGCGATCGAGGAGCCGGCGGCGATCCTCGAGCCGGCGGCGATCCTCGAGCCGGCGGCGATCCTCGAGCCGGCGGCGATCCTCGAGGAGCCGGCGGCGATCGAGGAGCAGCGGGCGATCCAGGAGCCGGCGGCGATCCCGAAGCCGGCGAGAGAGCCGATCGCGGCGATGAGCGGGCCGAAGCTGGAAAAGGAATCCTCGACCTTTGTTTGCATTAATGGGGTTCTAGCTACAATTAAACCCCAAAACCTTTTAGGCCAAAACCCTGTAACCTTAATCCTTGAGTTCCCAACCCTGTAATCCCGAGCCCTAAGCCCTAACCCCGCAGGGCCGAAACCCTCCTTTGAAACACTTATGGCTGCTCAATATATGAACTCTATATGTAGACTTGCTGAGATTCCTGTTGCGAGAACCCTGAAGCCAGAACCTCGAATGTAAGGATCTAGTCGGGCACCTTCATGTGTTGGGTTGGGCCAACCCTACAAACCCAGCACCTTATAAAGTGGTAAACCTGATGTTTTCAGGGTTGTGCCTTCACTTGGGTTGGATTGGGCGACCCTACTCGGAACCGAACCTCTCTAAGTATCAACTTATACAAGAAACAACCTCTCTATGTATCAACTTATACAAGAAACTGGTCAAAGGCCCGTGGAGAAGAAGTTTAGTGTTGTTGAGGGTTACCAATACTTTCCTTGGGTTGGGAGGACCTGTGTATTCTCACCTTTCGAAATTGCTACAGTTTGATGTGCTAGTCCCGGAACACTATAACCCCCGGCCCCCAACCCTGCCATGCCTAAGCCCCGGCTTCAAGTCGTGACTTGACCACATCAAAAAGCCCATTGTTAAGACAAAACTGTATATAGTATGAATGCATACATATGTATATATATATATATACATATACACATACACACATGTTTCCTATATATGTATACACAGATTTGCGGCCATATGAATGTGTGTGTATGTATGTATGTATGTATGTATGTATGTATGTTATTAGGCGAGCACGGAATAAATTCGGCCCAGCGAGACAGCACCGCCCCAGCCATGCCAGGTGCTCATGCTCCCCGCCTTCTTCACCAGCCACTTTGTTTGATTACCGTGAGAGACTAGGATTGAAACTTCGAGCGACTATGAGCGATCTTGCTTGACTATGAGCGATCTTGCTTGACTTTGAGAGACTCTGAGAGATTTTCTTTTGGTGGGTAGGAGGGAGACAGAAGAAAGAGAGGGATTTTTTTCGGATCGAAGCACACGGGCGAACCATCCGGAACAAGTTTTCTGCATGGTGCATGATGTAGGACCCACACATGGATCGAAGTTTGGTCGAAGTTTCGACCAAACTTCGACACCCTCCCCTCGAAGTTTGTATCGAAGTTTCATGTTGAGTCTGTGCATACAGTACAGCGAAAACGGCTAGAACAGCAGATCCAAGCATCGAACTTTGTGTTAAAACTTCGACCAAACTTCGAGCAAAGTGCGACCAAACTTCGACGAAGTTTGGTCGAAACTTCGACCGAACTTCGACCCTGTTTTGGTGTTCACTGACGACTCGATCTAGATGTTCGGCTGACCCTTGTGCTTGTAGCTTGCAGCAGCAGCACAATCAGCTGTGATCGCCAGCTTGCCTTTTGTATCGAACCAGCTTGTGTGTAGCTCCCCACTCCTTTGTTGCAGCCATGGTGGTTTCTAAGAAGCGACCAGCAGCGGCCAGTGTCAACGAAAGCATCAATGCTCTCGAGGACCTGTGTGACACCGCCAATAAGCGGTCGAAGGGCAAAGGAGAGAAGTTCGCAAAATTGAAGGCTCGCGGAGCACTTCCGGCCCATATAGAGGAATATTATAACAACATCCCCGACGGCGTGAACCCCCGGGAACACAAGACTGACGTTATCAACCGGCTCTTTGTGCAAACGAGAGACGGAAAATATGTCATGAACACGAACGACATTATGTTCAAGCAGAGCCTTGCTATCTACAACAAGAAGTTCAGCCGCGAGGAGGAGATCGGAGTCGCCAAGAGTGTCTTCATAGCCAAGCACTTCCATGGGGACGAGAAAGCCTTCGACCGGGCCGTTGAGAAAGGCGATGTCTATTGCCGAGAGCACAAGGGCAAGGAGTACTATGCCTTCGAGCAGGTCACTATGGGGACCGAGGGTGGTACCACGGAGAAGCACGACATGGAGGGTGTCAAGAAGTTGAGCAAGACAGAGGCAGTGCAGCTGGAGGGAATGATGAGCAGGCTAAACTGGCATTGGAAAAAAGCCATGACCGATGATGCGATCGAAAACGGTGAGATCTCCGATGCCATGAAAAAGCTGCTTCGCGATGCCCTCGCCAGCCAGAACAAGCTTGCCGCTGAGTGCATGAAGATGCTGAAGAATGAGGTCAAAGTGTTTGCAGGGGACGACGTTAAGCAGATTCGCCAAACCTTGTCGGGCTGCCAGAACAATTCCCTTGCCCTGCAGCAGTTGATCGAGTTCAGCATGCTCCCCAACGACGAGAAGCTAACCAAAGCATCCCTGGACCACTTGTTGAGGGATATCGCATCCATGACCCAGAAGCACAACCAGTTGGTGGAAACCATGAAGGGCAAGATCAGAGCGTCCAAGAACTGAGAGGGACTGTGAGAGATGCTCTAAGGACCTGTAGGTTCCTGTTTTTGCGACTCGGATTGCAATCGGCGAGACCTTAGAGGGATGTGAGTGTAGAGAAAGTGTTGCTATGGCTCGGTATGCTTGTGTTTGTATGTCTGCATAGCTCAAAACCCAAAACCCAATCCCCCAATAAAGGCGCCGAAATCCTCAACCCCGAACCTTAAACCCTAAATTGGCACTAAATCCTAGACCCTGAACCCAAAACCATGAACTTCACCGAACCTCCGAACCTATAGCCCCCGGGCTCCCGGATGTATAGAATGATGTACGGGATTCGGGCTTTGTAATCATTGCTTATAAGGGGCATGCAATAATGTCACAAGGTGTAGGGTTCAATTTCTCGGATATAAAAAGGTACGGGTTCAGGGTTTGGGGCTGAGGGTTTCGGGTTTGGGGTTTCAGGGTTGGGGGTTTAGGGTTTAAGGTTGGCGGTTCAGGGTATAGGAGGGTCTATAGGCTTTGGGGTTGAGGATTTCGGCACTTTTTTGGGGTTTAGGGTTTGGGGCTTCAGGGTTTGGGGTTGAGGGTTTCGGGTTTGGGGTTTCAGGGTTGGGGGTTTAGGGTTTAGGGTTGGCGGTTCAGGCTATAGGAGGGTCTATGGGCTTTGGGGTTGAGGATTTCGGCGATTCTTTTGGGTTTAGGGTTTGGGGCTTCAGGGTTTGGGGTTGAGGGTTTCGGGTTTGGGGTTTCAGGGTTGGGGGTTTAGGGTTTAAGGTTGGCGGTTCAGGCTATAGGAGGGTCTATGGGCTTTGGGGTTGAGGATTTCGGCGATTCTTTTGGGTTTATGGTTTGGGGCTTCAGGGTTGAGAGTTTAGGGTTTAAGGTTTGGGGTTCAGGGTTTAGGAGGGTTTAGGGTTCAGGGTTGAGGGTTTAGGTTTAAGGTTTCGGGATCAGGGTTCCCACATATAAGTCCATACGGAAGGCTTAAGCCCCAACCCGTGCATCAACCCAATGGTTTTCCATATCCGACCCCAAAAGATCCGCCCTTGGCAATTAAGTCGTATATGCTATAAGATCCAAAACCCCAAAAGTGCCAATCACTTGTAGATCATGCTGTACCTGTGTAGTTTCGCCCGCACAGGCAATCCTTCTAGTGATCGGAGCTTTGGAAGCTCTGATATGTGGTGCTGTCTTGAGGTGATCCACCATTTTGCTGACAGCATACATGCCCACAAAAGGAGCACAATGCATGCATGATGCAAGTGGGGCGGGGTAGGGCAGGGTGGTTTTCTGTTTCGGGACATGCTTTGGATCTTTTGGGCTTTGGTGGGGATGCACATCCCCTGCAACTAGGAGTTTATGGCCTGGAGGTTTAGTTTTAGGAGTGTTGTGGGAGGCTAGAAAAGGGATGGAGTAGCTGCTGTTAACAGGAAAGCCGAGCAAACCGCCCTTGTTTATATCGTTATACCTGTATATGAATCATCCTTTTGCACAAGAAAGTCCCAGGCTCCACAGAAATAGTGCAATGGCACAAAAGCGGGGAACGACCCGGAAGCCACACAGCAGAAACTCCCCAGTAGTATAGATGCCTGCAGGTATGACAGTGGTGGCTGGCGGCGATGCCGAAGATCGTATCAGGCTCGGGTCGCATGTCTGTGTGTACATGTGCCCTCGAAGTCCCTCGGAAGTCCCTCAAGGTTTCTCACAGGAAATCGTTGGGCCCTCAAGGTATTTTACAATAACACATGGTTCTTCTCTCAAGGTGTCTAAATTGTTGGGGAAAGCTTTTGTGGGCACTCCTAAAGATTCGGGTTCAGGGTTTGGTCGCTCATTCTCGCACATGGCAGGCTCCACGACTTCAGGTTTGGGTGTAGGGCTTAGCAAAGTGTTGGAGATGTATGTTACCTATATATAGTCATATTGTGCTTCGCTTTTAAACAATCTTGACACCTGAAAATCTAAAAAGACCCGTCGTCGATCGGTCAAGTTTAAGAGCAGCTTGTTTTTGGCTTTTACATGGCCAAAAATCCTTAAACCCTAAAGCCCTAAACCCTATGTTTCGAGTTTAAGCAAAAGGCTTTCGAGGGTTGGGGTCGAGAAACATGCCTAATTTCCATTGTGCGGCTCAACAGATATCTCAAGAATATGGCTGCAAGCTCAAACGAGCTCGAGCGACCCATCCCTGCTGTCTCAAAGTCAAAATTGTGACATGTCCCCCAGCTTGTAACAGCCTAATACACATAGGATCGCAGCACAGCCCTTTAGGCCTCAAGTGTTTTTTCAAGGTAACACGGGGTGAGGAAGTTGAGTATCTTTTCCAGGCTTACAATGGTTTCGGGAATGATGAATGGAGTCGCAGCGAAAGGGTGGCCTTCAGCAGAGAAAACGAAAGAGGGAAGAAGCTGAGGAGCTGGAGCATGGGTCCAATAGAAGAAGTTCTCTGGTTGATCATAATCTGAAGCAGTTTGCATGGGGGGACATATCCCCACAGGAGGCCCAGACTTTGGCAGCTAAGTCCCTAGAGGATTTTGAACGATGCTGCCCAGAGGACCGCATTCCTGAAGATCTTCTTTTTTTGGCCGGCATTGGCAATTCAGGCAGAGATCCGCAAAATTGTCATTCGCAATTAATGGCGAAACTCGAGCCCGGCATCAAGCTTCCTCGGCCACTGGAGGTCAACATGAGGTTCAAGATGGGCGACTTCAGGCAGCAAATACTGCTGCCACATGAAATGTTTTCGGCGCTTTTCCGTTCGTATGGGCCTGCATTCCGGTCACATATATTGCCTCGGCCAGAAGAGCTGAACAATTTCTGGACCAAAGTCGCTGGACACCCAGCCCTCGAAGGCCACGATGTCTTGTCTAGAGAAGATCGCTTTACAAAAGCGATACCTATCGGAGTCCACGGCGACGATTGCCCGGTTTCTGGACTGGGAAAATGTTGGGTCTCGAAGCTATCGACAATGAGTTGGTACTCATTCATGGGCACAGATTCCCGAACCAAGGAAAAGCTCATGTGGATATATTCCTGTCCAGAAAAATATCGGTTGAACAAGTCCGACCAGCACGAACCTACTCCTGACACTTTCTTCAGGATCCTCGCATGGTCACTGACGTGGCTCTACCGAGGCAAATGGCCGGATAGAGATTTCAACGGTGCCAAGTGCCTTGCGACTGTTCATCACCCGTTTTTCTTTGATGCTATGAGCCTCTTCTACATCGTTATATCCAGTATCTGAACAAAACCTGCACAATGAAACCTTGCATATTTTGTGTATAGAAGACATGTGGTTTCGCCGCAAGCCCCAGGATCCAGTGTTCGGGTTCAGAGTTCTGTTTTGCTGTTTGTGTATATGTGATATACGTATATACATCTCCCCCTCCTCTCTCTCTCTCTCTCTCTCTCTCTCTGCCTCCCTCTCCCTCTGTGTTGCAAACAGCTCACACATGCACAGACAAATGTACATACCCAGAGTAGATAAGACACCACCGAGCGGGCGACACTACACTTATATGCCGTGCATCTCTATATGCTTTCGTTTCAATCTGTAAAGAAGGGTTTAGGGTTTAGGGTAGAATATAATCAGCAGTGCTCTTAAATATATTCTAAACCCCGGAAGAACCATTACCCCGACATGGTACAAAATCAGGATGTGCTAAGCTTGAGTGTCACAGGGGTGTTAGCCCTGAAAACCGCACGGTTTACGGTTTTTTCTGTGGTGGGTTAGGGATTAGGGGTTTTTTCTTGTGACACACTTATTCGTTTTTTCCGAATCATCTGAAAGGTACAAGACAGGAACTTTGGAGCATAAGCGGGCTCTGACCCCGCTTGCTGGCGGCTTGTACTGTGTCCTGCTTGGAATCACAGGCGACCTTGATTGGTTCGCAGCAGTGCTGAAGCTCCCGCATTTCGCAAGCTCGAAGGGCCCATGCTGCTTATGCAAGGCCCAGGCCAAGGGGCCCTTGACATTCACTAACTTTCGTGCAAATGCACCGTGGCGAGACACGGTGTGGAAGGCGACAGATTGGATTGCGGATCCGAACCGATCTCAGAACCCAATTTTTGGGGTACCTTCAACATCATGCCATGTCGTGGCATTGGACCTGATGCATTGCAAGCACTTGGGCACAGACATGTATATGTTCGCCAGTGTGATATACCTGCTTTGCCACCACATACTTCCACACGAGCCACAGGAAAACCTGCGGGTTGTTTGGCAAAAGCTGAAGGAGAGCTATGTCAAGCTTGGTATTAGTGCTGGGCAGCGGTTCCGGGCCTTGACGAAGACGTCTATGTATACCCGCAAGACCGGGTATCCGAAGCTCAGAGGCAAAGCCTATGAATGCCGATATCTGGTCCGACCACTATTGGAGACATGGAATCATTTTCGCAACCCCCGGTTGCATGTACATCAACAGATCACTCTTATGCTGAAACAGAACATGCTGATGGAAAGGGGGCTTTCTGAAAACAAAGCTGCTCTACAGTTCCCTGCGGAGGCGGCTGAAGCCTTCCGGAAAGCCACCACGAACATGCTGCTGCTCTATGCTGCTGTCGCGACCCATTTCGCTAATGCTGGTATCCAGGTCTTTGATGTGACGAGCAAATTCCACATGCTCCAACACATCGCCGACTACTGCGAGTACTTGTCTCCACGTCTCGTATGGTGTTTTTCTGGAGAGGATATGATGCGGCACACTCAAAAGCTTGCTCAAGCATGCAGCAGGGGGGTCGGACCCTGTATGGTTGTTGGCAAGATGTCTCGCAAGTACCGCCTGGCCTTGCACCTTCAGTTCTCGCAAGAGTGAAAAGACGGCATCGCTCTTCTCCGTTTGCTTCCTTGTTCAGGGATGCTTCAGTTTACACGTTTTGGCTCTAAGGTTCTGCAAGGTTTCTCATATTCTCAAAGTCGTAAAAAAGGGGTTTGTGTCTACACCCCCGGACTTATGGAGTGCATAAAGAAGGCAGAACTGGTAGAACTCTCAGCTCTCACGGTTTAACTCGCTCAAGGTCTCTCAAAGTCCCTCCTCGCTGCACACTTGGTGCCAATGAGAACCCTTTCGGGGTGCATCAAGATTTTTATAAACAGGTGGAGCCAAGGCACAAGGCCTCAGACCCTTCAAGCTCAAGAAAGTGAGCCGGGACCCACAAGCCCCAACGAAGCCTAAAGTTTAGGACAAAAGCCTCGCCCTTAAGTTTCTGAGAGCCATGACACCAAAAGCCCCCCATAAACTTGAAACCCAAGCCTCAACCGAAGCCTAGAATTTAGGACAAAAAAGATTCTGAGCCATGAAAGCAGAAGCCCCATAGGCTTGAAACCCAAACCCCAACCGAAGCCTAGAGTTTAGGACAAAAACCTTCACCCTTAAGTTTCTGAGCCATGAAAGCAAAAGCCCCATAGGCTTGAAACCCAAACCCCAACCGAAACCTAGAGTTTAGGACAAAAAACTTCACCCTTAAGTTTCTGAGCCATGAAAGCAAAAGCCCCATAAGCTTGAAACCTTGCAGGCAGCCGATCTCCGGGAAGGAACTTTGAGCGACCAGGAGTGAGGATATACCGAGAGAGGGTGTGTGTGTGTGTGTTTGTGGACATAGTTCCAGACATAGATGTATAGACATGGATATAGGCATAGAGATATATAGGGATGATACACACATACAGACAGACATGTGCTGTAAAGACGATGGATATAAAGATATGGATTAAATACAGATTTCGGTTTGGATACAGGTGTAGGTTTGGACACAGATAAAAAAGTATATAGATAGATAGAGGTAGGGGGCAAAAAGGCAGAGATATAGGTATGTTATATAGACAAAAAGGATGTTGCTGTAGAACAGGATTTAGAGATATTTACGTGTGTATGTATGACTGTGTATATACATATATATATACATATATATATATATGATAATTGGTACCGATGGCTTTGTGATACTACAAACAGACATGCTTTATGTTGTACAGGTTATGCACACATGCAACACACACACACACACACATATATATATATATATATATATATATATATAGCATGCATACATACATGTACAAGCCACATGAAAACATATGCCACACACATATAAAACATATACATATAGATAGATATATCTATATACATACATTGCATGTATTTGTACCTGTTTTGCATGATCGAGAATCACAAAACCGCCGACGAAGTTTGTGACGAAGCTTAGAACGAAACTTCGTCGAAGTTTGGGCCCCGGGCCATATCCAGAATTCGTAGGATTCTGGATATCGATTTTGGAGATCTTGAAACCCCAAAACAACGAGGATAATTCCTAGGATTTTGGAGATGACCGACAAGACTAAATCGTAGGATTTTGACTATTATCAACGTGGGATTTTGGATATCAACGAGGATATATATCCTTAATTGAGTTTTGACTATTAGTCACGATTATGGGTATATCGTGTGATTATCCTAAAGGTAAAATTCAGACTAACCCAAGCTATGGGGTAATGATCTACCCGACCTACCTTCCTCTAAGCCTCTAGGAATCCAAATCTAAAGCAAGTTCAAACATTGTATCTTGCCTTATCTCATCCGATCAAATATTCTCTGATCAGCCTGATCTGATCCATCCATGCATCAATCCATGCGTCATACACACGTAAATAGTTCATTACATGCACAACTACTTACATACATACTCAGACATACTTATATACATACATACATGCATACATATGCATGTACACATACGTATACATATACATACCCATTTGCATACATCCACGCTTGCATGCATGCATGCATGCATGCATACATACACACATACATACAATACATTACCTTGCATTGCATTCAAGCACATGGCCTTATATAACATTACGTACATACATACATGACCATACATGCCTACATAAGTTCCAACCCTGAGATGGCACATAGAAGCCCTTATAAGCCCCAGATACCCTGAGAGCCCTCGAGTCTTTCCTAGGGCCCCAAAAAAGCACATAAGCAAAACTTGGGATAGGGATATGCCATATAAACCCCCTTAAAAGGAAGCCCAATAAGGTAGGGATATCCCTGTAAAATGCTTATGCTTATGTGCTTTTGGGGTCCCTAATTCCCTGGTCTCCTGAAGCTCCTTCGCCCGGTGGGCGGCATCGGCTTCCGCCTCGATTGGAACTTATCAGTGTAGGGTGATGTATACCTTAACCCTGAAACACCTACCTTTTTCGGGTTCCTTATTATGATTTCCTTATATAAGTCCTTAAAAATGTAGGGTCTTCCGGGTTAAGGTATGCCTTACGCTATGAAGTTAGTGTGCATGGTGCTGCTGGTGGTGGTGGTGGTGGTGGTGGTGGTGGTGGTGGTGGTGGTGGTGGTGGTGGTGGTGGTGGTGGTGAGGGTACGTAAACTCATGCCACCAGAAACTGCACAGCTGCTAGCTGCCGACGGAACTGTAGACTATCGCGGTTTTGTGCCGCGAAGACGAGCTTTTGAGGTAAAGGTTCTCGGAATCCCTATAACTAATGATCCACGCACCTAGAATATACGTTGGCCCTGCAGTCGTAATGTAGCAAACCTGTTAACGCGAACCGAAAGTAAACAAATATAGTCGTATTTATTATTATACATATGTAAATGTCTGTGTGTGCAAAAAATACGTGTTTCCGTACGTGTACATGGATCCCGAGGGCCCTAGGGAATGGGAGTTTGGGTTCGTGAAATTCAAATCTTGGCGTCTCCACAAGTTTTTTACTTCAGGGTTTCAGGCTCAGGCGGTTTAGGGAACAGTGACAAATAAATGGCTCGGTGAGAATTCCTATGATTTGGAGTTTAAGGGGGTTTCGGAGCCTAGGTTGAAGGTTTACCTGCATCAGGACTCGAGTGTTTTAGGATGTGGCGGAGTCTGAGAACGAAAGTTCAGTTCAGGGCTTAGCTTTTAGGCGCGGCTTCTCCGGACAACTCCTCGACGACACCAGCATGTCTGATCCAGCTTGGTACAAAGACGAGAGACCCAACCCACGTAGCCATGACCAGGTTGAGCGCCCACGGAGCTAGAGCCCTTTTGCACAGCAGCCTTGATCATGACACCGGTGGGGCCCAAGTGGCCCAAGCATATATCCTGTCAATGCATCCCAGAGGTTCAGAGCGTTGAAGATGCAAGCCGGCGCACCCGCTGCGCAACAGAATTCTGAGGCTGTGCAAGCTCAAGCAGCGAGCCAAGGGACTTCGCTACCAGCGTTCACCACGGGCGGAGCACCGCTACGAGCGCCGGCAGAGGGATGGCTTGTTAAAGCAAAAACGACGAGTATCACTACAAATGATGTTAAGTTAAGCCTTAGAGTGGTTGATGATGCTTTCCTGTTTCTGACACAGCAAAAGACTCGTGAACTCGAGAATCTAAATAAACACCACTACCAGGCTCGGGGGAGTCAGTCCCTAAGTCTCTTGGGCACAAAGATCACACTATACATGATGCACCCGTCATATTTGTAGCTCGAACCCAAAAACCCCAGACCCTATACCCGACACCCCGGTCACTGTGGCTACCTGGCCAGGACCTCTAACGTGGTTGATACCATGCAGGTCTTAATACACGCATACCCACATTTCATAATACAATCCGACGTCTACACTCACGAGCTGGCGAAGCAACTCAATATGCACTCACCAGATCCCCCATACTCTGTGCAAGCCCGGAGCCCAGAACCCCAAACCAGTTAAGAACTCGGATATACAATCCCAAAGCCAATTATGAACCCCGCCTAAACACCGAAATGCCAATCTTGACAAAAACCTAAGCCCTAAATCCTAAACCCTACTTCCGATGAGCGTGGACAAACCCTAGCCGGTAGCCTTGGCTCGCGCCGCCTGCAGGTCGGGCTCGTGTCTTTGGGGCTTTGAGCGGTTCTTATTTTTTCCCTCCTACCTAGCAAGGACGCGAATTGCAGGGTACTTGGTTGGAACATTACGCTCTCGCAACTCGGGCAATCCAGACGAGGTTCTTGGTCGGCAGAACAGTAGACTAAAGCGCTCACCCGACAGCTCCAGAAAGACAGCATCAACACAAGGCAGTGCCACGTATGACCAGCTATCGGGCAGGCAAGAAAGAAGCCCCACACATTGGAGAGGCGAGGTGCTCAGGGTTTAGGGGTTTATGCTCGCGCAACTGGTTTAAGGGTCAGGGTTTGTTGTGTGTCGGGCCTTTAGGTCTGTGGGGTAGGCTTAGTGTCGCGGGTCTGGCACTTATAGCGCCTTTTATAGCCAGATCTCAGGGTCCGTGCCGAAAGCCATTTTGCCTCACTTTTTAGATATTAGGCTCTGTGAGATTTTGCTGTGCAGCCTGCCTGCCTTTTTGTTGGGTTTGGGGGTTACCTCTACGGCCGAAAAGCCGAACTGCAAGGCCTTAACCAGTTTCTGGTTCTTCTTCGGGGCTGAATGCTGAGCCTGGATCATACAACCCGGAAGCTTTGAGGCAAGAAAGACACCGTGAATAGTTTTGGGTCTCTACACGATTCCGAAAGGGTTCGGAATGGTTGAGGGTGTTGTCTCGGAAGCTCTAAAACTTTCAGGGGTGCCGGAAATATGAAAGGCATTCCAGTCGGGCCTGCGTGTCTGATGCATGTTGCATCATCGCCGACTGCACCGCCTGCTGTGCAGCCTGCCAGATCTAAGACACCTTTGTGTTGGAGCGTCTTTCCCGGCTAGTCGGAACCCCAACCTAGTACTGGCGTGTATCTAAAGACGGCAGAATTTACCTGCACAAGGCTCAAACACACAGCAGGACTAGGGACTTAATATAGGGGACCTAACAATTAGAATAGGGTTTT